CACAACCACTTCCAGTACTTTTTGAGTTACTTCTTTTACCCTTTCGTTTGGAAAAAACAACAAAAACTGCAGCTTAACATTACAAATGCAACTTTTAGACTGGAACTTGGTATAAACCTTTGTTTCATATTCGATTCTTAATGAAAGTTCTCGAATAAATTTTTGAATTTAATGCTACTTTGTTTTATCTACTTAATCGTTGCAAGAAACTTGTGATAATCGAGCCTCTCATCACCTAATTCATGTGTTCAGGCTTCCGTGTCTATTAGCAGGGGATCACCAAAACCTCCAAGCAGGAACCTAGGTATGTTAACATTAAAAGATCCAGTCGCCTCCCAAATGACTCCTGGGAAGTCGCTTGGACTAGTTCGGGGGGCAGCGAATTCCAGCATTCAACAACTCTTAAGGAGTAGAAGTTGCGTCTACAGTCCATTCTGCTATGTCGTGTCTCTAGTTTCTGGGACTAAGCTCAAATAGGTGTTTAAGAAAATGTCCAGAAGTGTTAAGGATCCTGTAAGTAAATAGGTCACCTCTAAGACGTCTATACTTTAATGAGTAGAGGTTAAGTGATTGGAGGCGCTCTTCATAAGGTGATTTGGTGCATATCTCCGTCACTTTCTTAGGAAGCCTACAGGCTCGGGTCCTTTCACAACTTATTCTAGCCACCATGAGTTGCCACGAAAACTGATGGATGGACACGCGTTACACATCCTAACCGTCCCTGCATCTAATCTCATAGCTCCTTATTCAAATGTCATATGATAGGCAAGTAATGCTTCTACCGACACTAATGGAACACGAGTAATTCAAAGGCACCCTGTATGGTACTTTACATTGGTCTACGCACTCACTTAGCTCTTTAGTGGGAATATTACTACAGTCCTGCTAAAAAACCCATGAACCCCCCTACCACCATCAAAACAATAAGTCTGTATTTGCTGCATATAGCAATTTTATTTTTCAGAAGATATAACAGTAAGAATTGGAGTAAAATAACAATATACAACAGATGCACGTGGTACATGTCTTCATCGATCATCTGAAATAGAGAATACGGATATTAGCTTAACATGCTTATTTAGAAAGACTAGTGTTTACTTTGAACTTACTGTGTGAGAAAGTTATACTGGAACTGTGAATAATGTAGGAATCTAGTCTCCCAGGGCGTACGAAGCACTCAAACTGGAAGACAGTTGTCACAAATTAATTCGAATATGAAGTTGAGAATTTGCAAGTACTTTTCATCGTAAAGGTGAACATATTAGATAACGGTTGACATCATACCGTAAAAATAACAAATTTGCGAGTGGTGAATTATGGTCTATAAAAAGCTGAGCTTAATAACAGATTTCCGGTTTTTCAATGTTAAGCTTGCTTTAACGCACTACGTCATGCGTACAACCCCTCCATTACTGCTATGTGGCATATTTTTTCATAACAAACCCTCTGCAATAGATTGGTAGCATCTGTGAATTTGTCTATGGTTGTCGGAAGCCTGAGTACTTTCGAAAACAATACTGACATCCCCTACGGCTAGGCACTAAGTATTAGTTTGACTCATTGGTGGGATATTGTTGTCCGCAATACTGAAGAAAATTAAAAACCGGAAATTGTTTCCTTTTATTTTGCCGATAACATCATAAAGGACAGTTAGGAATGAACATGCGGACAGTCAGTCACAGGACGCAGCAACAGTTATTTCAGCTAAGAAAAAACGAACTTCGGCTTTTGATATCTTGAAAACAAGTCGAAACTAAACCGATTTTCATTTTAAAACATAAGACTAACCAACTTGACTGAAGAAATACATTGATTAGAGTAGAAGCAGCAAAAACCCAAAAAACAATGCTGATTCGAAGTAAATTTCACACCAACATGTAAAACCCTACACTAACTGCGGCATCTTAGCACATTGAAACATTAATTACACAGCTACACAAAAGAAATAGCTAAAAGAAGCACAGAACGAAGAAAGCCGGCCGCCATTACGTACAAAGATGGCGAATATAATAATTCCCGCCACATTCTGATTGGTTGCTAAGCTGAAAGGCACATTTACGAAATTGAGTTGCGTTTAATTGCAGCCAAACTTTCTTATAAAGGACACATAACAATTGACAGCCCAATTCGTAGACACAATTTTGTGTGCAGCGTTTCTTAGAGTGATAGTTCTCTTATAGGTGTATTTAATTTTTTACCATTTCAATGCCCATTGTAATTCTCTTGCAGTGACTTGGTGGTAAGCTGAAAATGCAGTACCGATCCAAGATCTTTCATAAGGACTTTTGTTTACAGAAGGACAGTTTTGTTTTAACATGTTTTTAGTAGTATTTTAAAGAACTATCACACCGTAGAATGTTTGTTATGTTTGAAGAGATTACCAGTCCACCTAAACTGTGAACGGAACGAAGACTCAGGACAAAATGGTCAAGTAATCTAACTGTTCCATTACGTCCCAGCTCCGCTAACCAGAAACAGAAGTACAGGTTCAAATGCGGGAAAATGTATTCTACAAGCAGTCAGAAGCACAAACAACAATCACAATCCAAGTGACTACATGCAGTATAGAAAGGTCCTGGGGAAACGATAAAAAACAGCATATTAAAAGTGGTAACAAATCAATGACGTTTAAGGTCCTCCCGAATGGGAAATACGACACGAAGGTGAAAAGGACGGCTTTTGGTGAGAAAACGAGAAATTCAGACCTCCAGAATAAAATTGACAAAATAAGGCATTTATCATGTGAGATCTAGAGATCTAACATCACTAATAATTCTGTTTTCTTTTAGTTATTTCCTTTATGAACTATCCAAAACTTACAAGATTGAGAATTTTTCAGAATCCATAGTAGAAGGACCGATAGAAGAGCTCTTACAGAAAAGAGAGTAACGTTCCTATTGCAGCGTGATAAGCTAATAGTGTGACTCCAGTCATCCATATATTCTATGGTTCCAGATCGAAGTAGTTTCAAAATGACTCAACCTCCATTCATTTTCGGTCGTTTTTTTTTCAAGAAATGTTTTATATCATATCTTTAAAAGCCACTACGATCAGAGATCAAAGTATTCAATTATTCGCCCCACTATTCACTTTTTTACGTTCACGTCTTGTAATCACTGTGCCATCCCGTCGTATGAATAATTAATTGAATTGACCATGATATATTTCTGATCAGGCGGGTACACGACACTTTTACAAGCATGATCTGTGATTTACAACATTGATTTGTATATAAGATGGTTCCCAGGTGCGGTTGTTAAATAAACGAAATCGATAAAAATAAAAGACAATACTTCATACAGATGTTCATTAGGGTTAATGATTCGGATTATGTTCGAGTATTGCATTACGATTTCAGTTTTTATTGTATTTTCGAGTTTATCTACTCGTCGTCTGCATTAGAATTTTACACTTTTGCCATGTAACCATCCAGTCAGCTTCCAGTGACACGTTAGCTACTTGTCCCAGCAATCAAACACATTACCTTACTCTCAAGGTAGCATTAACCATGAGAAGCGGTCAGATACACCTGGAGTAATACCACTGAACGGTGATTCTACCTACCAGAAAGATTTTAACCATACGGTTACTACAAGATTAATGGCTTATAGTATTCTTAACACTTCTGGACATCCTCTTAAACACCTACTCAAGCTTAGTTCGAATACTAACCTAAGGGGTAACACCCAGAAACTGGAAACTCAACATAGCAAGACGGGATGTAGACACAACTTCTACTCCTTAAGAGTTGTCAAAAGCTGGAATTCGCTGCCGGCCGAGCTAGTCCAAGCGACTTCTCAGGAGTCCTTCAAGAGGCAACTTGACCTATTCTTAAGGACCAAGGACAGTATCATACAATGATTTACCAATTTCTTTTCCTCTTTTATTGTTAACATACCTAGGTTCCTGCCTGGAGGATTTGGTGATCCCCTGCTACTAGACACGGAAGCCTGTTAAGCAAAAGCTTCTTCTATTCCATCCACAACCATTTGAACCATTTGAAGATGCGACTTGAAACAGATAAGCAAGTTTACAGCAGCTAGTTACCAAAGTATTGGATAGTGTACATTCATCATAAAAGACCCTGAATGGTACTGAAACAACTACCAATGGACAAAAAATTCTAATGATTTATATAGGTTCGCCAAAAGAGATATTGGATATTGGATTTCTGACTTCTCGAAAGCTATAGAACTCGCGGGTAGTCCGGTATTGCATTGTACCCTCTTTCATACTTGTTGTCACCTATTTTGGGTGTCAGAGTAAAAACAAGTGAGCTCCTTACGTGTATAGTGTTTTTTAACGTGATGTCTCCTTTACTTACAACGTCTGATTCCGTACCAATTTAAGTAGCCCGATTTTGAGGAGAGTTTCATCAATTATTTGGAAGCTGCATTAAAAAAATTTAAGGTTTCATGGAAGTGTGATAAAAACCTGTAAATTCCCGTTGGTCTAAGGATTTTCCCCAAGAATATAGGCCGGTGAAATCCTCAAAACCAACCTTTAACAAATTGTCTAAATGTTGTAGAAATCTCATAAACTTCGGATTTCGGAGTTTAACCCAAGGTCGTAAAAATTCTTAGTCTGGTAAAATATTGGGAAAACCTCAAAATTTACACAAGAGTTATAGGAACATGCTCATCCATGTATTAAGCGAAAGAAAACTAGCAGTTATTTTAATCAGTCTGGTCACATTTTATGTTTTAAGATGTTTTAGTTCTTTCAGAGTTCTTGATAGCAGTTGACGACTCTTGTTCACCCGCTTATTGAAAAATTGATTTTACTTGTGGGTAGTTTACTTCCAGTTTCAGACTCAGTCTTTTCAATTCACTTATCACTTAGTGTTACAATATGATTCTATTTTCATCACATGTGAATTGGTTCAACAACCTTTTAAGCGATCTGTTTGTGTTTATTTTTTATTTAGATTCCGTATTCATATACTGATAATTCATCCAAGTTTTGACCAGAAATCTTATAATTAAAATCTTCACATCGAAATGGGTACAGACGGTTATTCTGTTTTTGTGCTTCATGAAGGACATTATGCAAGATCCCCTGACTACGTATATCGAAAGTGTAATACTGCACTAATTCGTGGTCCAGCAGGTGCTTTTGTAGTGAACCCTGGGTCTGTTTGGAATGGGCCTGAGTTATTATCATCTCTCAAAGCTGCGGGTATTCACGAACCTGAAAAGGATATCAAAGGTGTCATATGTACAGATGGTCATGCTGAACATGTTGGTTGTATGAGCACATTTGGTTGTGCTGACATAATGATTGTTGGATACGATATACAAATGCGAGGCGACAAGTTCTTGGAGCACGATTTCTCCTGTGGAATAACACCGTATGAATTTGATGAGAATGTAAGTTCCTGTGGTTTATAGAAATGTTGATTAGGAATCCCCCTCTTGTTTTAAGATTCATTCATTCCATGTCATCATAGTTTGTGTTGTGGATTATCATGTCTAAAAATATTCATCATCGATTGTTCACTAGTGGGCAAGGATTGGCAAAGCAAGGGTCGCATTCGTACAATTGAAGAACATATGGAACTCAAAACAACTTTCAACCAATATCAAAGTGAGAATCTTCAATATCAACGTCAAGGCAGTTCTACTGTATGGAGCTGAAACTTGGAGAACTACAAGAACCACCATCAAGAAGGTACAAGTATTTATAAATAGCTGTCTTCGCAAGATACTCAACATCCATTGGCCGGATACCATCAGCAATAGCCTTCTTTGGGAGAGAACAAATCAGCTTCCAGCTGAAGAAGAAATTAGGAAAAGACGATGGAAATGGATAGGACATACATTACGCAAATCATCAAACTGCATCACGAGACAAGCCCTTACTCGGAATCCTGAAGGGAAGCGGAAAAGAGGATGGCCTAAGAACACATTACGTCGGGAAATAGAAGCAGATATGAAAAGGATGAATGGGAACTGGGAGGAGCTGGAAAGGATTGCTTGGGGCAGGGTTGGATGGAGAATGCTGGTGAGCGGCCTATGCTCCTTCACAAAGAGTAACAGGCGTAATTAAGTAAGTATTGTTCACTAGTGGGTTAATATTCAAATTTATTAATGACTGATCCAAAAGTTCTTCATTACCTTATGAACTGCACTGCTAGTCAACACTACAGACCACGAAGTATTTGTGTTTGCCTTTTGAGAAACATGGACAGCCGTTCATTTTAAACTAAAACACCCCCAATTCTTAATTTGACTTCGTAAATTTTTTCCTTATTGTTTTCGTCTTGTTAACCTCTATGAGGTTTGTTATTGGACTATTATATTGACCTGGCATTTCATGTATATTGGTTTTCGGTGTGTTAGTCTGACCTGTCTACTCAATGGCCTATCAGTATGAGCTGTGATCTAACAACCATTATCTCAAAATCCCGTGACCGCAAATTACGAAAGATAGCATTTGACCACGCTATTTATTTATTTAAACACATAAAAACTGGTACAACGGGGAACCAAATATTATGCACTACACAAATGATTCGATTTGTATGAGGGCTGGATTACTGACTAGACGCCCAAACCGAAACAGGTGGTTCTTTTAGGGGGCCACACCCCAAGCCTTCGACCTAAAGGTCTAATCCATAAGGCAGTGGAGCAACGTCAGGAGATGCAGTCTAATAGTACTCGATGACCAACAATTGGTTCATACGACATTTGTCTCCTTAGGATCCTGGAACCCATATGCACCATTGGTTCGGAGTCAGGGTTTCCCAACTTCCCTAGGTAGATCCTCCGTATCCATCAACCCGGTTAATGTGCCGGAAATCCGCTTTTCGTCCTCTCAGTTTCGTAAACAACACCCACGTCATGAGATTTATTTTATTTTATTGGAACACATAAATATTGGTACAAGAGTGCAATTCTCTCCCTCGAAATGCAAAATGTTGCTTCAGGATTGGGTTACATCGACACCCGAACTAGTGATAGGGAGTGAAGTAGTTGAGTGTGTCGATCGCTTCACTTATCTTGGAAGTCTCATCAGCCCTTGTGGTCTGGTGTATGACGAAATCTCAGCACGGATACAGAAGGCTCGACTAGCTTTTACCAACTTGCATCATTTATGGCGTAGGCGAGATATCCGTCTATCAACCAAAGGACGGGTTTACTGTGCAGCAGTACGTCCCGTCCTACTTTATGGCAGTGAAACATGGCCGGTAAGAGTAGAGGATATTCGTCGGTTACTAGTATTCGATCATAGGTGTCTTCGAAACATTGCTCGTATATCATGGGACCATCGAGTAAGTAACACAGTTGTTAGGAAACGGGTACTAGGTAAGGATGGCAAATCAATTGATGACGTAGTGAAACTTTATCAGTTGAGATGGCTGGGACACGTGTTACGTATGCCCAACGACCGACTGCCTCGATGTGCGATGTTCTGTTGCATATGAGTAGATTAGAAGAAAGCTAGGGGCGGCCAGACCAAAACATGGTACAAGTCCATGAAGTCACTGACAAGTGGTCTGAGTCATGTTGATAGGTATAGACTACCTGGTTGGGGACCGCGAGATGATAGCAACCGATGGTTAGAGACCCTGAATGACATGGCTCAAAATCGTTTGCAATGGCGCAGGTGCATCCACTCTTTGTGTTCTCCCAAATTCTAATCTTCTGAATTCTTCATGTCCCTTTTTTCCTCTTTCCAAATTTATTTCGCTGAATTATACTCTTTAAATAACATCTCCAAACCCTAATCTTCCCGATCACTGCTTACACTCTTGCTACCTCTACCACAATGGGATTTGAATCGACAACTGCATCTCTGTGTTAAGGTGGTGTGGCAACTCGAACTGATGTACGTACGTACGAAGTTCTACGTTGTTATTGACTGACTGACTGACAAGAGTGCGCCAAATATATATGCTCCACGAGAAGGCAGTGTGTAGGACTTCCCTGGCAGTGGTTGTATGCACGTGGTCATGTGAGAACATTTCAAGAGGGAGAGCTGACTCTTCCCACTCTCGACCGTACCAGGGCATTTAGGGGCTTTGACCACGTGGTTGCAGCAGATGCATGAAGGGCACGCTTCCCACTATTTAGTGATATTCAATGTTGTCGATTACAGTCTAATAATTACTCATTTAAAGATAAGAATGCCCGTGTCAAAATACTTTCTTAAAGATTTATCCATTCCTAAATTGTGTTTAGTATTTTCCAGACCAACTGCAAAAATACATTTCGTCACAATCTAAACAAAAAATTCTATGCTGTTATGTCATGATCCAACATAACTTGATACTTCGGTTTGGCTGCAGTTCAGGGTTTACAAAATTAGTGCTACCATCCTACAAGGTAGCTGACATCTCCAAAAATCGAGATTTGCACCATTCTGTTCGATTATTTTTATTGTCTAGTAACCTATCACTTCGTTTTAAACAAAAGTTGAGAGAACCAACCAGAGTTTAGACTTGATACCATGTTTTTTTAGTGCTACGTGGACGTACCTACGTCAGACAATAGGCATTTTAGTAGTATGAATTTGTAAGAGACATGCCAATTATCATTCCCTATATTGGTTCAAAATAAAACTCTGAGATTATGACTGATGTTACTCGTCGAGTTTCTCCTTGTTCCTTTTCAGTTTATAAAGTCTACGCGCCTGAAGTACTTAAGTGACAATTTGTCACAAATATACTAATCTACAAAGTATAGACCAGCTTACTGTTTTTTTTGTAGCTATGATACTATTTAGTGAAATTTGATTTGAACAGGTTTCTCACAGTATCCAGTGCCCATTTTAAAAAGACTAAATCGTATTGCTAGTGTACATGTCTTTGTGGAGTAAGATGGTATAATATCTACTTAAACAGGTGTACCTGTCACAGTGACCTGATCGCGGTCGGTTCACGAATTCTGAATAGATTCTCTTCAATCGGTAGATATGGTTACCTGGCTGTTTTGCATAGGCATTGCTATATATTATATTAGAATCATTTTTGTTGAACGAGATTACTAATATGGCCTGTTCATATGCTGTCTCGTCATAGGGTCAATTTAGACATGTTTAAGCACTCTTTAGTATGTTTCTGAATAATGGTATATAAATATCTGATCAATGAAATGTCCTACTTAAGTCCCTATGTCAAACCATTGGTGCATATGGGCTCTAGGATCCCAATAGAACAAATAGTATATGAACCAGTTATTGGATGCCGGATACCATGAGATGGCATCTCTTGACGTTGCTCCACTGTCTTGTGGATCAGACCTTTAGGTCGAAGGCTTCGGGTGGGCCCCCTAAGAAAACCGCCTGCTTCGGTTTTGGCACCCGGGCAGTATCTCAGTCCACATAAATCGTGATTTATGTGGTGCATATATATTCGGCACCCCTTTATACCAATATTTATGTGTTTAAATAAATAAATAAATTTCATCGCAGTTCAGAAGTAGCTGAAAGCCATTTAAACAGTTACTCGAAATACCCAATCATCTCAGTGATTTTAAATTATCACAGGTCACCGTTCAATTCTCGATATTAGATCCACTAACTTATAACGTTTTGGCCATCAGTGTACTTGGTAATTTCTACTTTTGCCTATCATAATGTCTTGCTTCCGCTGCCCACCACTACTGTGTGGGTTGTATGTCTGTTTACATTTAAGTTACTTTTTTTCATCCTTTTAAAAGCTTAGTGGGACAAAAGCGGAGCTAGACGTTGTTAAATGAACTCATGTACTGCTAGTTGTGTGCAGGGAATTAGAGCTTCCGGGTTGTCTACATAATAAAAGCTCACTTTACTGGGAAACATACTGTTTTTATTTTGATCTGATGGGTTTGAGAATTCAATCATGAAGCATAACAAATCTACTAGGTGTCAACATGATGTTTTGTGAATTGTTTTCGGTCCCATAAAGTTGGATGCTTTCGATTCCAATCCTTATATCAAACATCGAATGTCCTTGGGGTAGTGTACCTGTTGTTTCTGGAACTAATCTTTTGCAGCTATTACTTTCACATGTTACTAGGCCGCATCACTTGAGATGCTTTATATCAATTATAGGGACCTTACTGTTACAACATTTGTACTGTTAACAGTACAATATTAGTACCATATGGAAATGTTATTAGCATAAATCCCTCTCAATAACTAAAATGATTTTGTTATTATACTCTCTTACGGTTATAACCCAGCTATTCCTATTGCTTAGTATTCTTGGACACCAATTCACTCGACAAGTCCCAAAATCAGAACACGGTTGAACAGGAAAGAGATTATATTTCAAATAACAAGATTAGATGGTAGTAAAAAGCACATTAGGAAAAGCGCTAGTATATTTATAGTTTTTACACGAGAAGATTTCTAGATTGTTCTCCAAGTATCGACTAGCGCTGATTGGATAAGAATTATTTATTTATTTATTTATTTATTTTAACACATAAATATTGGTACAAGAGAGCGCCAATATATATGCGCCACACAAAACAATGTAACTTCGAAGAGATAGAGAAAAAAAAAACCAAGGAGCACAAAAGAGAACGATAATGAAAAGATTGGTGTAATTTAGTGTGGTCGTAACAGTGGAACGGAAAAGTACAATCAGAAGAAATCTTTCAAGCGAGGGAGACACAACCACTTTTTATGAAGAAAGTAAAAGAAGGTTACAGCAGGATCGCCATTGGGTTCTATTCTGAGCCATATCTGATAACGTCTCTAGCCACTGTGTAGCACTATCTCTCAGACCCCAACCAGGGAGTCGTGAAGGACCAACACAAGCCAGTCCTCTGCAGCTTTCTTTCATACCACGACACCATGTCATGCACTGACCACCTCTCCGCTTTTTCCAACCAGTCCCAGAGTCGGCCAATAATGCACGACGTGGAATTCTCTGGGACGACATTCGTAGAACATGTCCAAGCCACCGAAGTCGGTGTTTCAAGATGGTGACACCAATTGAATTATCATCTCTGTGCCCAAACACATGATGCCGAACCTCTGCATTACTGACATGGTGTTGCCACTGAATATCAGCAATCCTTCGGAGACAGCGATGATCGAACACAGAGAGTCGTCTAACGTCCTCAACTCGGAGAGGCCAGGTTTCACAAGCATAGAGCAAAACTGCTCTCACCGACGCGTTGTAGATCCGACCTTTTACAGCCAGACTAACATCACGAAGGCGCCAAAGATGGCCCAGATTGGCATAAGCCACTCTGGCTTTCACTATACGTGCATTGATCTCATCACTCACACCCCCACCAGCACTTATGCAACTACCCAGATACACGAACTTCTCGACTACTTCTATCTGCTCACCATCCAGGGTGAGTACAGGATTGGAATCCTGCCAGTCTTGTAGAAGTACTTTGCACTTCGAAGGTGCAAAACACATACCATACCTACGGACACTGATTGCCAACTGATTAAGTGCGGATTGCATGCCTTGGGCATTATCGCACAGTAAGACAATATCGTCCGCATACTCAAGGTCGAGAAGTCTTTCTCCAGGTAACAGATCCACACCACCATTACTTACATTCATCAGAGCTGTTTCCAGAATGTCATCGATGGCAAAGTTGAAGAGGAATGGTGAGATTGGGCAACCCTGCCTAACCCCACTACTCGAATGGAACAATGGAGAGAGGTGGTTGTATGCCCTCACTCTGCCTGAGGTGTTTTTATATAGGGCTTTTAGGATGAACCCTATGACTATGGATAAGAATTAGTCAATCAGCGTGCACCAAAGTCGTCGTGCATTGACCATGCTTTAATCCTATCTGTGTCCCGCTAACAAATGCCCTTTTGTGATATCTTGGTACTTTCCCCTTTATGTTTGAAAATTAAAGGCAGTTTGGAAACGCGACTTGTTTGTGTGACTAAATAGTAACGGAAACTCACTCATAAATTATATCCGTTTTTATTAGTTACCTTAATTGTTTCGTGTGACTTTAAATTCTCATATTCCTCCCAACCTAAGGTTTATTAAAGCTATTGATTGCTAAAATACTATTACTTGTAAGTCCACCTTGCTTATTCAATTTGTCAGTTATCATCACTTTTCATCGTTTTAATTAGTCAGTGCATAAGATAGGCCGAACTGAACTGTATATGAAAAACGGATATTGAGAATAAATAGATCTACAAAATCATATTAACACATTTTTTTGAAGTAGATTTCCTCGCTTATGGTTTCATAACTTGATTGAAATGAGGAGATTCAACTGATAATTTCAAATATGCTTCTCACATTTTTTCAGTTTTTTGTTATCGGAACTCCTGGTCAGAGAGGTCCACAAGTCAGTTTGATAGTAAATGGTCGTCTTATAGAGTTGAAGACTGGTGAGTGTCGTGAATCATGTCGTATAGCTGTTACTGGGAACTTGTTTATGGATGTTCAAGATGCCAGTCGTGTAAGCTTTCTTGACACGCTGGAAGGGAATTATGGAGAAAGTAACTGTGACAAAGAAAATTTGATCAACGGTTGGCGTCAAAGCCGTATGTCTATTTTAGAGCGAGCTGATTGGGTAGTCCCTGCTTATGGCCCTCCCTTCAAGGTAAATAAAGGTTATTTTCTCAAAATATTTGTCAAAGTATGTTTAAAGCTGCTGATACAGTTGATATATTTCCGATTTCTCCCCTCTCATGTAACCTGTTTACCATATACTGATCCTTGTACTTGGTTTGTAGCCACACACTAAGTGTGAAGTTTAGTGATACTAGACCGTTTTACAATCGCGGGATTAGGTGAAGCGGGGTTCGTGCAGTGACTCACTGACTGGAAGTTGAACGCCTTAATCATTTAACCCTTGCTTCACAAAATACACCCCAGTTTCTATAAGCTATTCTATCTAACAGGTTGTTGTAGAGTAATCGATGATTACCGTTCTAATAATTGTAGCAATCTTAGTCTTCTGCTTATTTTTATCATATCTATTTAAATTAGGTTTCATTAACCTTCTGGTTAAATAGCTATTCAGATTACCTACGAAACTCCAATATTGGTATGGCACTAGCTAGTAATTGTAGTCATTATATATCTGTATTGATTTATAAATGCTTCTAAATTCCGTTTGCCTGTAATATAGTGCATTTACCTGTAAGCTGAATTTTTGTCGTTTGAGTGTTGAATCAAGTGCCGTAGTAAGTTATGTAAAATCAGTTCCAAAATGACATCTCATTGTTCTGAATTCTTTGTGAATTATCATTAGCTCTGGTGGTCCGATGAAGTTGCCCATACTAATGCGGAAATGTGAATACTATTTATGAATTTAAGTGTATACATTTGAATTGTTCCATCCGTATTTATGTGAATGGTTACCGAAATAGTTAAAAAGTAGCGTTGTGGTTTCTTTGATACTGATGATCGTATTAAGTGAGTTGATAAAGAGTAGTGCAGAACATGTCCCAAAAACCGGTCTAAAATAACGACAGTGTCGAGACGTGAGCATATTAGCAATATATAACACAAACGTATTGGGTAAATTGATTTGTTGCATTGTTTCTCTATTTATTCAATCAAACATACAATTGTTGTTTGTTTGTTTTCCAGGTTAAACCGGAATATTCTTCAACACCATGCGTTGAACTTGCGTAGTGATCTTACATTTTTGTCCGCATTTTGAACAAAAATACAATATCATTATGGAAGAGATCAATTATCATAAAAATAAACCTAATTTCACTTTCAGTGAAAGTACAAATCTGTTTGGCAAAAATACAAAACTTCTTGGATTGTTACATTTCCATTTGTATCAGTAGCAAGTTGTGTTATATAAATGATTTTTTTCTAATTTTACTCTTCTTTTCCCTGATATTTGTATGAAGTTTATGCTACTCGATAACATTTCTGTTCAGTTGTTTGTTAACTTGGGATTTTTTGTTCATGTAAGTATTATGGTTGTTTGTTGGGTTGCTCTGACTTATAACTTCGGTAGGTACTCCCCTTTTGTGTCAAACTGTCTAAATTCTGCTATATTTGTTAAGTAGGACATTTTTTAAATTAACCGTTTCGCAAAACGTGTAACTCAACTATTCAACCTCTGTTGATTTGGATATAGTTACACATTTTATGTAAAAGCTATAGAATATTGTTTCCATGTCTAAGAAAGTCCATATGTATGTCAGCCCACTACGTTATCTCAAGTGTACTTTCATCTTCACTTCGACTTACTTATAATTTTTTTAACAATCACAGAATTTAGGAGACACTAGTCGTGTATGTTTAATTGAAAATTAGTAAACATCTTTTACCATTGTTAAACCACAAGCTATTCTGTTCTGGTTATTATTTTATAATCAATACTTATGAGATAAAGTAATTGCTTAATGTATAAAGTTGTTCTGTTTCACAGTTACTGGGTTATAAGTTTGAACGCATCTTCATTTCGGTTTAAACAACTGGTTATCACTAGCCAGTAATGTAGTTCAAGGCTTGCAATATACGAATGTATGTTCTTCGTAGATGTGTTGCATCAGAAGTGATTTGGAAGATACCAATTTACATTTAGTGATAAAGATAATAATACTTTTTTCTCAAGGTGACATTTATATAAATTGCACTGATTCGGAATAAATAAGTAAATGCAACTTTAACCTAATAAAAATCCAAGTATCTGCACATGAATCACATCTATCATTAAATCCCTTAACTCCTAGGGCAGAGTTCAAATGGTTTTATTTCTGTTTAAGGTTTTTAGTAAGGTTTTCTATGGAATAGAGTTGCCGACCCTATGGACAACCTAACTCCTTTTTCCGGGATTGCGACAGGTAGTAAACATAAATGGGTTCTAATAAGAGTTTATTTTTAAGTTTCCTCCAAATACCGATAGTGGGGAGAATCAGCTCTCCCTCTTGAAATGTTCTCACATGACCACGTGCATACAACCACTGCCAGGGAAGTCCTACACACTGCCTTCTCGTGGAGCATATATATTTGGCGCACTCTTGTACCAATATTTATGTGTTCCAATAAAATAAAATAAATCTCATGACGTGGGTGTTGTTTACGAAACTGAGAGGACGAAAAGCGGATTTCCGGCACATTAACCGGGTTGATGGATACGGAGGATCTGCCTAGGGAAGTTGGGAAACCCTGACTCCGAACCAATGGTGCATATGGGTTCCAGGATCCTAAGGAGACAAATGTCGTGTGAACCAATTGTTGGTCATCGAGTACTATTAGACTGCATCTCCTGACGTTGCTCCACTGCCTTATGGATTAGACCTTTAGGTCGAAGGCTTGGGGTGTGGCCCCCTAAAAGAACCACCTGTTTCGGTTTGGGCGTCTAGTCAGTAATCCAGCCCTCATACAAATCGAATCATTTGTGTAGTGCATAATATTTGGTTCCCCGTTGTACCAGTGTTTATGTGTTTAAATAAATAAGAAATATTGTTAAGTTACATAATTTAAAATCGATTAAATGTTTATGTAAAAAGTTAAATGGTTGAGAAATGAATGCCGATGTCATTAAGATAAATTCACATCACATCAAATGTTTAGTTGAATCATTCATCTGTGATTGTGTATAATCAGAATGAACAAGCCATTTCACTTATTGGTGTAGATATGTGTTGCTTATTACATTCGAGTTTAATACTCTACGATTTCCTTCACTAAATGGTAGAGTATATGTGCTGTTCAAACTTGACCGTGTCAGGTCAGGCTATTAATTTCATAAGTTTCGCAGTCTTTAGTTATGTAGGCGGTACTACTATTAGATTTGTTTGGTGTAGATGACTTCAGTGCTGTGATACGTTTCTGCTTTTATATCACAGTTTGTTCATTTAAAATAGATTTGGCGAACTATGTAAATAGTTTAAAAAATTTGGAAGTGCACATTGTGAATTAAAGGTTGAAACGGTCCGTCAACCGGAAGATTATATATAGTATCTTAGATCTCTATTATGAACATCGTTTAAAACAATTTTATTAGTATGAATTGAAGTTAGTCAGTGTGTATTTTCCCGTAAAATAGTATAATATCAATAAGTTTACTTCATATAAAGTGATTACGAATTCCTATTTTATATGACTTACCGAACATGTGACATTAGTACTTTGTTTACAATATAAGTTAGTCACAGGGCTATGAGACAACGGAAACATGAACTCGAAAAAAATAGGAAGGTTATGAACCCTTCCGGTTATTTGCTGTTTTATACAAAAATTTGAGACTAAATTCATGTGGTCATCATGATATCGTGCTACAGTCATTTCTGTTTAGTCCCATATAAAATTAACTAATCAGCACTGGAAATTTCAATACTCAATATATATATATATATATATATATATATATATATAAGATTTCTCTATTGTCCCATGAGTTTATTAATGATAGAATTAATAAGTCTAAGCATGTAGAAAATTGCGATGTAGTGGGAAACCGAATAACAGATTTGTAACTAATTAATTTTTATGTTAAGCGTTAATGTAGGGATAAGCCATTTAAGATCGAGAGCGCCGTTAAAAGGCTTTTGGGCAAACTTAGAAAAGGATGACTTTTACTGGTAGGAACATGGGCTTAAAATAACCAAACAACTTTCAACCGGTTTTTAACCAATCAGGAAATAGCTTATGCAATTGAATGATTTGAGGAAAAGAAAAGAAAAATATTGCAAAGCATAAGCAAATTATACATAAATACTGAGTTTAATAAAGTTATCCAAAGGTTGTGTCTGTCAATTGAGAAGATAAAGTCACAAATTCGTCAATACGCGTGTAGGATATCCATCTTCTATAACCCTCACAAGGACGCAAAAAGATCTTTAAGAATCCTCATATTATCTATGGTTAGAGTTATATATTCAGAACCGGAGACTTAAGGTTCAGTTCGGAAAATGTAGTTGAATTTAGGAACTGGACTTATATGGAATGTAAGATAAAAGTCATTTTCGGATTTTGCGCAAATCTTAACAGATTTTCCGATTTTGATTGACTTCCGTATGTTATAATTTTACCATATACTCCTGCCAATATTAATTTACGAAAGACAAATTGAATATCAAAAATTAACGTCCTGAATAAAAGATTACAATTAAGTATACACAAAGAATACCTTAAAGCAGTTAATAAGCACACACCAAAAGTTCAGATGTTGAAGCATCGGAGAATAGCTTGCCAAGTTCCTCAATTCCACCTGTTCTTATGCCAGCAGATTTGTTTGTTCACAAAGGCAGTCAAAGTCATCTAACCATAAGCTTCAATTCAAATGAGTTTTGGGTTAATTAAAATTTTTAACTGAGTAGAATGTGTTATATCTTCTGTTATGTGGCAGCACTTAGCCATTTGTTTGAAAATAATAGGTAACTATGCGAATCATCGAAACTAACTACTCTTATCACATGTCTTGTCTTCCAGACAGAATTTTCGCGATTCACACCATAAAAATGAAAAAAGGATAATGTTCGTTCAGTCTTCAATGTGTGCTTGTAAAACGAAATCTGAAACGGTTAATTCATTCATTCAAATTTATTATCGTAACCCTCCTTCCCCCTCTATAAAAGCCAAAATTATCCTGTCATGTAAATAACAATCTAGTGAGTACTAGTCAACTTTGATGAAATAAGAATAATGGATGATTGACAGAGTCATGTGTTGGAGTAGTATCTTTCCTATGGTATTAATTTTCTTCCTTAAAACCTATTAAAAATAGATAATAAATCCAGATTACTGATTTTGATCTGGTAGATATAAAATTGATTATATTATATTGAGTAACCTCTTTTTTTTCTCATTTAGATTCATATGTATCTGGACATATTTAGTCTAGATTGTTCAAATTAACCTTGTTGACTAAAATGAATACTCTTCAGTTATCCACGTATGAATAAGTAAAAAATGTCGTATTATTTATGAGAACCATTTTTATAGCATATACTTTTATTCAATTAATTCTTATTTAATCATGTTGTCTACTTAATTCACCCAATTTCGGTACATAAGAAAAAGTTCTCTTTGCAGAAAACGAGTGACCCCAGCCGTTGTATATGTATTGTGGACTATCTTAATAAATGCTTCATCTTGTTTTTATATTCTTGAGCAGAGTTCAACTACTGATCTATTTCAATAAGAACCTCACTTTATCGATTTGGACCACACGTGATCTGTTTCGTTTTAATCAGCCAAGTATTATAATTTGTCTTATACATAAAAAACAAGTGGCTGAAAACTGAGTACATAGACTTAAATGCATTTGATTATTACATGAGATTTATGGTGTAAATATATATTATCGATATCATTACCAAGGTTTGAAATAATAATGTCAAATAGGTTGAGTATTGGGTTGATTGCTATTTACTTACTTACGCCTGTTACTCCCAATGCAGCATAGGCCACCGATCAGTATTCTCCAACCCACTAATAACCTACTAATATATTTTTAATATCCCAATGAGTAAAAAAATTAAATTTTCTGACGTTTCTTTACTCATTCTTAGCCAAGTTTTTCAGAGAATAAACAAATTAAAGTAACCCAAGTTTAAATAATAAAAAGGGACAAAGCAAAAATATTTACTACGATCAATCTATAAAAAATGTCATGTCATTCCAGTCAATGCGATTTTTATGAGATATACTTGTGTATTTGTGTGTGTTAATAAGTGAAAAATATGACGTTTGTAATGTAAAATGATAGACTGACATTTGTATGTTTGATAATCGTTTAAGATGGTAGCTCAAATAGATGGTCCAAATCAGTAGGATAGTAAGTCCTTAAGTAGAACCTCCTCCTCCTCCACAAAAGAACTCTTCCACGGTGTGGGCAACCGGTAAATAATAACTGCCCTCATACCTCTAATAGCACTCAAGATCACTGTATTCATAATCAATCTCCCCACTTCTTTCCTATTGAAGACAATAGGATTTAGTAATATAAAGTATTATCTATTCGCATTTCTTTGTAGTTGGAAAATTCTTTTTGTATTATTTTGTTATATTATCCAAGAACACTTTTACTAACACATTGCATTCATTTCTTCTGAACTTATTATTATTATTATTATCTCTTTAGACTACTTATATTCATATTTAAAATATAAATTCTTGCTTTTATTTTAATTATTTAAAATAGGCTAATAAATTACGTCAACATTTCACTCATCAATTTTCGTGTAGTTTAAAGAAACCTATACCTAATTTATATTCAAGATATCTATATCAATATAAATTAAAAAAACAAAATAAACTATTAACTGCTGCAGCTATTGATGCATGTAATTTAAAGTAAGTTCATTGTCTTTTTTTTAAAAAAATATCAAATTCAATTGTTTCATTTTCTTCTAATTTATTCTATATCTACAATTGTCTAAGTCTACTAGTATTATATACACTTTTCTAATATTCTGAAACTCAATTAGATATTTCATTACATAAATTATTATTATTATTTCACAGATTGAAATCATGAGACAGTTGAAGCTAGACCAACATTGAAAACCTGGAAGCACTGGACGACCGAAGTTCTAGTGAGAAGCCGTTACCAGTGGAGTTCAACCAGGTCTGTTGTGAGATAGGAACTCACTGAAGACAATGGTGTACGGTGGCGCAACTTCGTGGAGTGGTTGAAGTTAGACATTAACACCGTTGGATGCCGGCTCAGTGGTTAAGTGCTCGCGCGCGAAGCCAGTAGGTCCTGGGTTCGAGCCCCGTGTGGTGCGGGATCGTGGATGTGCACTGCTGAGGAGTTCCATACTAGGATGAAACAGCCGTCCAGTGCTTTCAGGTTTTCCATGGTGGTCTAGCTTCAATTGACTCATGATTTCAATCTGTGGAATTTCTAAAATCTCTACAAAACCCATTCTGATATTATTATTATTACTCAATATTATATTTTTGGTACAATGTAGAATTCTCAGCATAAAGTATTTCAACAAGTTTCCTTTTCTTATTTCTTGATTGACCCTTGTGATAAACATTGAGTAGTTACTAATTAGATGTTAGCAGTTCAAGAATCGACATCTGATTAATGTAAATTTTTTTTGCGATGCATATTGCCAGCAACCACAATGTCTCTGATTGTGCTCTTTTGTAAGTTGTACAGCGAAATGTAGTAAACATTTGCATTGCTCGTGTCAACTCAGGTGTACTATAAGTAGTGTGTTTTATATAGTAACTCGGTGTATTTCCCCTTGTATTTCATATTATTGTGTGTAAAATTTGATGTATGCCTAAGGACGATTTATTTTAGCGATGGGTTTGGGGACGCAATTTTACTGAGTCAATAAGACTTTATTCACACCAGTCTTGTGTGTTTTCACTTTGGGTCGCGAGAAATACAGTGTTTCACAATTGTCAAGTATTAGAATTAGGACTGGAAATCCAACAGTGGAGACATGGACACAACATGAACAACAACAACAACTATCCAATACTTCCTAGTTTCCAATGATTGTTTCACTAAAGTCAGTCTACCACATAATCAGTCGAAGAATCTGCACAAAGTACGTATCCTAATAATAAAACTAATGATAATAATAATAGAATCAATCATATAAATTTGAAGCCATGTACAAATAAACCAGATTTATTGCCAGAAAACTAATGATACAGTTTACCAGTTCGATTCTCATTTAGTTTGTTTCAACTCAAGTTCATAATTCAATAATTGGGAAATAGACAAAGAAAAACAATCAAATAACATTTACAAACAATTTAATTTTGCAAATCTTAAATGTTTTTTTTTAAAGAAGGAAATTATTAATATAATAACAATTCCATCGAAATGACATTAATTTATCCTGGTAAAATTTTAAAATGCAATCTCTTTAAAAATATTAGGTGCTCTATATTATCCTGAAATATATAAATTACCTGAATATATATCTGATAGAATGGACTTCTCATCAAACCTACCAGTTTTTTTTAAGGCTGAATGTTAAATCAGAGATACTGACGGGTTCACCCTGTTGTTCAACGTTTAGATTCATTATCTGAAAGAGTGAAAGACAGGTACGCTATTGGTTGGAGATCTGGTTTAATTTTCTTAGGGACACATGTCTATGTTAAATGGGTGAGTTTATGCTTATGTTTCAATTCGTGTCAACCAATACAAGCTTCCTACTCAGTCTTAGCATTCTCACTTAAGTAGTATATATATATATATGATTGATTCTATTATTATTATCATTAGTTTTATTATTAGGATGCGTACTTTGTGCAGATTGTTCGACTGATTATGTGGTAGACTGACTTTAGTGAGACAATCATTGGAAACTAGGAAGTATTGGATAGTTGTTGTTGTTCATGTTGTGTCCATGTCTCCACTGTTGGATTTCCAGTCCTAATTTTAATACTTGACAATTGTGAAACACTGTATTTCTCGCGACCCAAAGTGAAAACACAAAAGACTGGTGTGAATAAAGTCTTATTGACTCAGTAAATTTGCGTCCCCAAACCCATCGCTAAAATAAGTCATCATTAGGCATACATCAAATTTTACACACAATAATATGAAATACAAGGGTAAATACACCGAGTTACTATAAAAAAACACTACTTATAGTACACCTGAGTTGACACGAGCAATGCAAATGTTTACTACATTTCGCTGTACAACTTACAAAAGAGCACAATCAGAGACATTGTGGTTACTGGCAATATGCATCGCAAAAAAAATTTACATTAATCAGATGTCGATTCTTGAACTGCTAACATCTAATTAGTGACTACTCAATGTTTATCACAAGGATCAATCAAGAAATAAGAAAAGGAAACTTGTTGAAATACTTTATGCTGAGAATTTTATTTTGTACCAAAAATATAATATTGAATAATAATAATAATTTACGTAATGAAATACCTAATTGAGTTTCAGAATATTAGAAAAGTGTATATAATGCTAGTATCAGATTGGGACAATCGCCCAACTCCAATTTAAGAATGTGACAATAAGTCGATAACATAAAACCCTGGGGTTTGATCCCTTAAAAGAATCATATCTAAGCATTGTATTACTGTTACTAAAAACTTATACTTGCTGAACATTATATTTATAAATGAACATATGTCCTTTTCGATATAATAATTCACTTCAAGGAATGTAACTTCTACGCCCAACAAATTCATAAATAAGAATAATCACTTACGGAAGATATTACTAAGTGAATACCTTACATAATAAATTAACTAAATATTTTTTTAAATGAATACGTTTGAGTTATTTGTCCCTCAATTTAATGATGTTATTTTCTTCGGGTTGTTTGGAAATTATATGTATGTTAAAGTGAGATGCGATACGTGTCCATTTTTCAAAATGTTCAGTATGTTAGTGGCATCTAGGATCTTGGAACATTTTCCCGTTCATTACTTGGTAGTTGAGTACCGCATATAAGAGCATAATTTCCACTGAGGTTTCTATTTCAAGCTCTAATTTCCAATTTATTTGCTTCTTCCATCTGGCAAGTTGGAATGCACTACAGTAGCGTCTTCATAAAAGACATTTATCGATGGCTTCAGATGATTAAATTGAAATCCTCAGTACACTCTTATATACAGCGCTGATACCCAGATTAAAGGAAAAATCCTCAAAAATGCTAGATATTCCACTTTTATTGAGTACTGAAGAAAGGATAGTTAAATTAAATACCGTTTAAGCATGAGAGAGTTGAAGGGGAGATGTTTTCTAATCTTTATTAATTTTTAAATATATATTCATTAGTTTTCAGAATTAACGTTAAATTATCTAATTTCTAAACGTATTATTATCGGTAAACAAAACAAGATACTTTACATTTTTGTAAATAGAAACTTTTACAGTTGAGGTAATACAATGGTTTCGTGATTGTAGGTTCAAATTAATATATTTTAATTATCAAAATACTTTAATGTAAAGCGTGTAAATATGTTAAAACTTATATTGACCAGATGCCTAATAGTGCATCAGTATTTTGTTATCTGATATGTATGGTACAAATTATTCAGTGTAAATAATCATATTTACTAATTCTCTTGAATACAATAGATATTTAATATGTCATTAACTAAACATTTATATGTCTGCTTACTCTAACATAATGATACAAAATCAATATGGTTTTTTTTCGGATCATATTAGCCCACTGAACGGTGGTCATAAGCAAACTCTAAGCCTTCTAAAAGTTGGTGAATAAATATTCCTAGATTGCAATGTTTGTGTTCGTAGAGTGTTTTTGGCTTCCAAAGGCCTTGGTATGACCGAGAGTGGGCAGAGTTAGCTCTCCTTTTCGAAATGATCTCATATAACCACTGCTAGGGAAGTCCTATTCAATGCCTTCTTGTGGCGGGGATGTTTACAAAATTGAGAGGACGAAAAGCAAATGTCCGGCACATTGACCGGGTTGGTGGATATGGAGTATCCACATAAGGGAGTTGGGAAACCCTGACTGCAAACCAATGGTGCATATGGGCTCCTGGGTCCTGAAGGAACAAACGACATATGAACAAATCGTTGGTCACCGAGTACTATGAGACTGCATCTCCTGACGTTGCTCCACTGTCTTGTGGATCAGAAGTTTAGGTGAAAGGCTCCGGGTGTGGCCCCCTAAGAAAACCACCTGTTTCGGTCTGGACACCCGGGCAGTATCCCATCCCTCATAAAAATCGAATGATTTATGTGGCGCATATATATTTGGTTCCTCGTTGTACCAATGTTTATGTGTTTAAATGAATAAATAGAGCGTTTCTTACTTTTTACTCATTGTTTCAAACAGTTGGATAACATCCCGAAATTGTATTATATTCCTGGTTACTGATTATTTCAGTTACATAATTAATTGATGCAATTCAATGACAAAGTACTTAACTGTGAATCACATGTTATTTTAGGGCTTATTATACTACGCGTATGCTTAAAATGGTGGTTAGAACGATATCTGAACTTGTAATGTGTTGGTTAAAAGTCGAGTCATTTATCTCTAATGCTTACTGCTCAATAGTATTAGCAAACATCTACTAACATGTTAATTTCCTTAGTATAGGTTTGTAGCTTCCTATTGTTGTTATTCAGGACTACAGTTAATTAGTCTCTGATGGAGTATGTGACCCCTGAGCAGATTACCTCGGTGTAACCATTTGGCCTCAAGTTCTAGTAAACTTGGGTTTTGACCAACAGTGAACTGCAGAATGTCCGTTTTGTCCTACTTGGGAATCATCGGCTTTACGTCCATGTATCCCAATATCTATGTTCACATGATGATTTGTACCTAATATATTTCACAGCAAACGGTAACGTCGTATCTATTGAGTTACTTAGTTCTGATAATTAATAACTTATTCAGTCGGTATGATGTTTTATGTCACTATTAGTAAGTATTTCAGCTCAGTAGATGACTGATTGAACGTTTGAAGCAAAAGGTACTGGGTTTAAGTTGCGATGTAAACATCATCACTGTAATACAAATATATTCATCTGTTCAATCCCATCTCACTACTAGGCACAATTCAACTTAACAAAAAAATTTATTACCAGGTTGTGAAAATTGCTTGAATTTTATAAAAATCATTAACTGATCTAAGTTAAACCACTCATGAAAACCTGAAAGCATTGAGCAGTCGTTTCGTCCTAGTATGACACACTTCAGCGGTGTACAACCACGATCCTTCGTGTAAGAATCAGTTCATAATTCCTATAATAAAAAAGTAAATAAATAAACTTTCTACTTTAAATTTTTCAACGTAATTTATTATCAATAAAATTGGTGTTGTCTGATTACATAACTTATTCAATTCTAATTTTCTTAAGACCTGGTGATGATGTATTAGAAATTGGATTTGGACAAGGTTATGGTATTAAATTAGCTGCTGAATATGTTGCTCCTGTTACAATTAATCATTGGAAATCTTCACGAATTAAATTTATACTAGAAAATGTTTTTTCAACATCAACTATTAAATCGAATACATTTAAAAATGATGGTCATGTTTATGGTGTTGAAATTTCTGAATATATGCTACAAAAAGCAAAAAGGTGAATTTAATTTATTAATTTCTATGTGTATATTATCATTGAAATACTACATAATCAATTAGTTGGAACTGATACAAGATACTTATCTACACACTAGGTTATTTGATTTCTTACAGTATAAATTGTTCATTAGCATTACTATACATCATCAGTACTGTCATGTTATACTTAAAAGTCTATTACATATCTGAATACATAATTTATTTTGTTACTATATATACATTATGTGCATTGTGTGAAAGACAAGTTGATCATTATTTGATGATCGTTCTGTTCGATCACTCAGAAATACTAACTATTATTTACCGAATCAGTGATTCAAAAAAGATTAAACACTCATCACATGACTCAAGGGTTCTCGATTAGATTCCTGGTAGTGTGCCCCCAAATGCCCTGGTACGGCCGAAAGTGGGGAGAGTCCGCTCTCCCTCTCGAAATGCTCTCACATGGCCACGCGTATATAGCCTCTGCCAGGGAAGTCCTACTCACTGCCTTCTCGTGGCGGGGGTGTTGTTTACGAAAATGAGGGGATGAAAAGAGAATGTCCGGCGCTTTAACCGGATTCCAAACCAATGGCGCACATGGTCTCCAGTATCCTGCGGAAACAAATGGCGTATGAACCAATTGTTGGTCACTGGCTTCCATGGGACTGCATCTCCTTACGATGCTCCACTGCCTTGTGGATTAGACCTTCAGGTCGAAGGCTTGGGGTGTGGCCCCCTAAGAAAACCACCTGCTTCGGTTTGGGCACCCGGGCAGTATCACAGCCCTCACACATATCGAATGAGATTTGTGTGCCTCTTTGTACCAATATCTATGTGTTGAAATAAATAAATAAATCCTGGTAGTGTACTGAGTGCTTTACAGCTTAGGAACAGTTGCCCCCGTATTAGGATGTATTAGCTATCTATTGCTTTCTGGTTTTTAGTGATTATTTGACCAAGTTTGGTTTGTAATGAAAATTTATATATTCCGATAGACATTATTAAAACATTCAAGCTCATAAATCTTACCTTAATACCTGGATACCTCTATCTAAAACATATATATATATATATATATATATATATATATATATATATATATATATATATATATATATATATATATATATATTCCTTGTGTTGCATCTAAAGAATTGTTAGGTTAGTAAAGCCTGATTTTAGTATTCTATCAATTTCTAATTACATAACATAAATCTCATTGATTGTATCACATGACCGCAATTCACATTTGACAGAACAAATATTTAAGGTCCAATTCAATTAGAAATAATGTTAACACAATCTAATGATTATTAATTTACATGCTGCATAATAGATAGATCCTCTTCTGAAATGATCAATTCAATACAAAAATTTCTAAATGTACAACTAAGTATGTGTTATTTCTTGTCAAATATTCAATATCCTTCATGAGATAAAAAAAAATTTCACCACCATATCATAGCGTTTAAATACTAATGACAGTAAAGATAATGTAACTGTTTTACTGAGTATATGTTTATATAATAGTTTTTGAACTACATATTCACATTGAGAATTATGGTTAGAATCTGAATTTCAATGGTTGAAGGTCTAGTGCTCTGATCAATATATCCCTGGTCTAGTATCATGAAGGTTAATCAATATTAACGGATAATGGGTAATACTGATCAACCGTGAGATAAATATTAGTATCAAACGCAGAAGTCATCCCTAAATAGTTGGCTTAAATAAAATGGTTATATCCAAATTTCACCAATAAAAGTATTCTGTCACTATTCAGCTGTATTTCTATTGCCTAATTAAGTGAAAGTTTTATAACTAATAAAATTTCTTTTAGGTTACTGCAGAAGGTTTGTAGAAATTGTTAAGTTTCATAGTTTACATTAACAGATTGATCTTAGCAAGACAGTTATTGAAAAACAGGAAGCACCAAACATCTCTTTTGTCTCAGTAACTTTCATCAGTTTGCCATAATACACAATCATCACTCATTGAAATTGCTGAAAATTGTCCTGCGTATTCCATCTTTGATTAGGATCGTGGTTACGCATTGTTGAAGAATTCCATACAAGAGTGAAACAGCTGTCCAATGCTTTATGATTGTCTAACAACAGTCAGTCCATAATGTAAATTATCAATCTATATATGACTGATGAACTTAATTACCATCAAAATATAAAATTTATAAACTCTTAGATTAATATTTTTCTAATGTTATATCATTTACGTGTTAATTATAATTAATTATTTCAGGAAACTATGGCCTCTTACTAAAACTGATTGCATTGACTTACAATTAAGAAGTGTACAACATCTGAATTATCCACCTTCCTCTATCAATGCTTGTTTTCATGTGAATTGTTTTTACTTCTGGCCTTCGTTAACGTATTGCTTACAAAAAATTTGGAGAGTTCTACGTCCTAATGGACGTCTTGTAACTACTTTTCAAATAAATCAATTAATTGATTTACATCAACGTGGATGGTTTCAATATGGTAATCCTGATCCTTTAATTTATGTGATGGCATTAGAAACATGTGGATTTCATCAAATTGAATGGTTAAAACAACAAACAAAATTCAATGTAAATGAAACATATGACTGTATTATTGCTCACAAACCACCCATTCCATTATTAAGTGCTTCAATCTCTTAGTATGTATATTTCCTCCCACTTTTCATGTTACTTTTTTTCTTATCATAATTTATACATTATGTATATACATATATAGGCTTGAGTTTTTTACTTTTTGATAGTAAGGACTGGATTTGATAATTCTTCGCTAGTGCATGTATTACTCTGAACAGATTGCTTCAGTATTGCCATTTAGTTCCAAGTTTTTCTATAGTTAAATAGCGTCTGGGAGTGAAATCCAAAAGGTTTATTTCGTTTTCTTTGGGAATCATAGGTGTTAGTTGTGTCCATAACTAAGCAATTAAATCGTTGTTTAAGCGACCACCACGTCGATCTGGTCTGATGTGTCTGTAAACTATCCCTGTTGCATGTGACCTACCAATTGAAAGACATTATTATCCTATTATATTAATGCGACTCATAATTTTACTCATTTCGATAAGACACGTAATTCTGGTTGGTGTGTTTGTGCGTTTCACTGAATAACTGTAATTTCCTTAATTACTGTACTAATCTAATTGTTTTTACGTTCAGAAACAGACAGAGTTTAAAGCCAAGTTGTCCTTGTTCTGACTATAGCTTTCACATAGACTCTGTGCTCGCCAGTATCGCGTTTACGGTTCTAGTAGTATATCTGTAGAACAAATTAAATCGTATGATAAGTTGGATATATCTCCATACCGATATCGATGTCAACAAAGCGACTCGAATGCAATATCTTTCTTTTCAAACGTTAATGTGTCATATATTAAGCTACCGAATCCAATTAGCTACTGACTTGCACAACGGATATGAATGTTTTTTGTAAGGGTTTACATTTTTTAACTGGGTTCGCGTCTCAATATGGACGAACATCAATAGTGAGCTGTAGATGAATCCAGCCGAAGGGTCCTATTTAGAAATAAACGCATCTCCTAGATTCCGCTACTAGTCACAATCCAATTTTATCATACTTTCTTATTTGATTCTTAAACTTACTTTGACCTCACATTTGATTAAGTGATTTGCATAGACATGGTTCAAATCCTACATGGGACATTAGTTCTTTCAAAATCCCAAATATGGCTTTGTAACAAAATACCAACTAGTACGGTAATTATGTCTAAAATCTTCGCCTAACCACCTCCTTCCATTTTACAGTTTACTCAGGACTCGACTCATTGATCATTAGGGAATTAGAATATATAATTCCCAGCATAGTTTTGAAATTTACGATTTTTACTCCATTTATCTAATGTCTATATTTACAATTATTTTGGATAGTGGGTTTTTGTTTTTCATTCATTGATAAAATGACCTGATGAATTGGACGGAATCATACTTAATATACAAGTTGACCTTGGTTAACAAGGAAACTGGTTCACTAGTAATATATATAGTGGTAAGGAGAGAAAACATTGGTGAAAAACATTTTCATTTATTCTTTTTGCCTATAATTGATTATTGGATAGAATTCAATCATTTCGGTATTAACAGTAGTTGTGGTAATATTAGTAGTAATAGTGGTGGTAGTAGACGCAGCAGTCTTAGTAGCCTTAGCAGTAGTTATAGTATTAGTTGTAGCAGAAGGAGTAGGCGTAGTAGTCGTAGATTTCGTGGCAATCGTCGTGGACCTGGTAGTCATACTAGTAGTAGTAGTCGTTGTGTTCGTAGTAGTAATAGTATACGTAGCTGTCATAGCAGCAGTAATTACTTACGCCTGTTACTTTTTGTGAGGGAACATAGGCCGCTCACCAGCATTCTCCATCCAACCATGTTCTGGGAAATCCTTTCCTGTTCCTTCCAGTTCCTATTCATCCTTTTCATGTCTGCTTCTATTTCCCGACGTAATGTGTTCTTCGGCCTTCCTCTTTTCCGCTTCCCTTCAGGATTCCAAGTTAGGGCTTGCCTCGTGATACGGTTTGATGATTTGCGTAATGTATGTCCTATCCATTTCCATCGTCTTTTCCTAATTTCTTCTTCAGCTGGAAGTTGGTTTGTTCTCTCCCACAGAAAGCTGTTGCTGATGGTATCTTGTGTAGACAACCATTTATAAATACTTGTACCTTCTTGATGGTGGTTGTTGTAGTTCTCCAAGTTTCAGCTCCATACAGTAGAACTGCCTTGACGTTTGTATTGAAGCTTCTCACTTTGATATTGGTTGAAAGTTGTTCTGAGTCCCATATGTTCTTCAATTGTAGGAATGCGACCCTTGCTTTGCCAATCCTTGCCTTTACGTCTGCATCTTAGCCTCCTTGTTCATCGATGATACTTCCCAGGTATGTGAAGGATTCTACATCTTCCAGAGTTTCGCCATCAAGAGTGATTAAATTACTGTTCGCCGTGTTGTATTTGAGGACCTTGGTTCTCCCCTTGTGTATGTTGAGGCCTACTGATGCAGAGACTGTTACTGCACTGGCTGTCTTTATCTGCATCTGTTCGTGTGTATGCGATAGGAGGGCTAGGTCATCTGCGAAGTCCAAATCGTCTAATTGGTTCTGAGCTGTCCATTGTATTCCGTGTCTTCCATCAGATGTCAAGGTCTTTATAATCCAGTCGACCACCAGTGGAAAGAGGAAGCGAGAGAGTAAAAAGCCTTGTCTGACTCCGGTCCTTACTTGGAATGCATCTGTCACCTGTCCTCCATGCACGACCTTGCACTGTAGTCCGACGCATCAGTTCCGGATAATGTTGACAATCTTCTCAGGAACTCCATATTGTCGAAAAAGTTTCCATAACGTCCTCCTATCCACATTGTCAAATGCCTTTTCATAATCAATGAATTTGATGTATGGCGACGAGTTCCACTCAACTGATTGTTCGACGATGATCCGTAGTGTTGCAATTTGGTCTGTGCACGACCGATCCTTACGGAATCCAGCTTGTTGATCTCGAAGTTGGGCGTCTACTGCGTCTTTCATCCGGTTCAGCACCACTCTGTTAAAGACCTTCCCTGGTATTGACAGCAGTGTAATGCCTCTATAGTCTTCACATTTGCTCAGATCTCTTTTCTTTGGAATCTTGACGGTGTCCTTCTTTCCAGTTCATCGGCACTTGTGCCTCCTCTCAAATCTTTTTGAATAGAAGGTGAAGCATGTTTTTAGTTACTTCGATGTCTAACTTCAGTGCTTCAGCTGGTATGTTGTCGGGTCCTGCCGCTCTTGATTTGTCTGGTGGCCATTCTGATTTCTTCCCTCGTTGTTGGATTGACATCTATAAGAAGATATGTGTGTGCTGCTTCGATGTTCAGTGGATTCGTTGGAGCCGGCCTATTCAGGAGTTCCTCGAAGTATTCTATCCATCTATTCCGCTGTTGTTGAATTCCAGTGATTGGCTTGCCTTCTTTGTCTTTGACCGGTCTCTCTGGTTTACTATATTTTCCTGCTAGTTTTTCGTATTTCCTTCTCTAGCAGCATTTTCCACTGTCGTTGCTAGTTCTTCCACGTATTTCTTCTTGTCAGCTTTAATGCTTTTCTTCACTTGCTTGTTTGCTTCTATGTACTCAGCTTGTGCTTGAACTTTCTCTGCTCGTGTTCGGCTGTTGTTAATTCCCGTCTTCTTGTTCTTCCTTTCTTTGATCTTGTCCAATGTTTCTATAGAGATCCACTCCTTATGATGGTGTTTCTTTAGGCCCAGAACCTCTTGACACGTTGAAGTTAATGCTTCTTTGACACCTTCCCAGTTGTCCTCCATAGTAGTTTCTTCTTCCTCCAGTAGATCTTGTAAGGCTGGGAACCTGTTTTTGAGAGCTATCTTGAATTTATTGAGTTTGTCAGTATCTCGAAGGAAGGCTGTATCGAACCTTTGTATTGCTGTTTGTCCAGTTCATTTTTAGCTTCAGTTTTAAATTGGCCACAACTAGGTAGTGATCTGAAGCTATATCAACTCCTCTCCTGGTCCTCACATCTTCCATTGTCCTTCGGAAGTTTTTATTGATGCATATATGATCTATCAGGTTCTCTGTGGTGTGGTCCGGTGAGATCCATTTAGTTTTGTGTATACATTTGTGTGGAAATATTGTGCCTCCTATGACCAATTTGTTGAATGCACACAGATTTGCAAAGCATTCCCCATTTTCGTTTCTTTCTCCCAGTCCATGTCGTCCCATGATATCTTCATATCCGGTGTTGTCTATTCCGACTTTGGCGTTTAGATCCCCCAACAGAATGGTGAGATTCTTTCTTCGACACTTATCTACGGTTGATTGCAGCCGCTTGTAGAATTGATCTTTAATGCGTCGTTGATATGATTGGTGGGTGCATAACATTGGATAATATTCATTAAGATCCCCTCCTTTGTTTTGAATGATGCTTTGATGATTCTAGATCCGTGAGATTCCCATCCTACAAGTGCATTTCGTGTTACTTTGGACAGCATTAGAGCGACTCTCTGAGTGTGTGAAGCATTTTCCTCTTCGTGGCCGGAGTATAACAGCAACTCTCCCGTATTTAACCTTTGTTGTCGAGCTTGTGTCCAGTGGATTTCTCTGATTCTCAGTACTACCAATTTGTATCTCCCCATTTCCGTCGCGATTTGACTGGTCTTCCCGGTCTTCTACATTGTCTGGACGTTTCATGTATTTATGAAAGTTGTTGCGCTGGTTGTTAGAAGGGGCATCGGCCTTGTGGCTTCCGAAGGAACTTGGCTTTCACTATGAGGCGTTATAGTTCTTCTAAATGAAGACCTAACTCCCAGGGCAGAGTTTAAATGGTTTGAATTATTTTTTCTGTTTGGCGCTTTTTAGCGAGTTAGTTTTCTACAGGATGGTGTCGCTAACCCCATGCCCAACCCTCCTCCTTTACCCGGTCTTGGGACCGGCAGTAACTCTAGAAGAGTTACAGGCGGAGTTAGCAGCAGCAGTGGTAGTAGTATTTGTAGCACTGTGTTGCACTCTACTTATATTGACACATACAAGTAGTATGTAGCACCGATAGGAAGAAGGAAGCCTGAGAGCAGACGATTGAGAAGACTGAAATCAAGATTTGTGAAATTTTCGGTTTAATGTATTTTATTAGATTGTTTAAGAGTCTCTAACTTTTCAG